TCTTGTAAATATGACAACTTCAAAGTTAATATATATGAGGCTAACAATAGCCTTGGAATTATAATGAGCTTTGTTTAGTCTCATACCCCAAACATTTATCACCTAGTTCCTTGCCTGTGTTGCAAATGATACGGTGCCTTTATGCCAGAGGCAGGTATCATCAGGGTCTGACATTTTTCTTATTCTGTTTCCTCTATGGCCCTAGGCCAGTCCTATCCTGCATGCTGTAGGAAGGCTTATTGTAGTGTCAGAAAAAGAGCCAGGTCTCCTTTCACAGGAGCCCAAATTATGTTTGTGTTCCACATATCATGATTTCTGTGTTCATACCACTCTTACATTCTGGATTCAGATTGAAGAAAATATTACATCAGAAAGAGCCAGGCACTATAGATTACTGTATCAGTAGCAGAATGTAGGTTTTTATCTCATACATGCTTAATTAATTCAAACAATTCCACCAAGAACTTTAAAAAAATTATATTTGGGTTACAGTGTAATTTATGTTTCATAATTATTTCTATACTAACCAAAGGAAGATAATATTTGGTGTCGATTGTGTGGGGATTTGTTTATTATTAAGTAAAGGAGAGATTTAAAAATGAAAAGTGGTTTCATTTTATGGTGAAATAAACTTTTCTCTGTAGTTGAGAATATTGCTAAAATGATAAACTCTAACAAGGGAAGGAAAATGATATTTCTTGCCTCTAAGATGAGGTAATGAAGTATCTGTCTTCAAGAAGCTGTCATTTAATATCAGCTTCTGATGCAAAATGTTGTCAGCTTGCCTTTTTATTGTGTCTGCATTGTTAGAAACAAACTGAAATTTAAGCAATACATCTGTTTTCAAACCATCATTACTTGACCTGAAAAAGAAAAACACCACAATGAGTGAAGTCATAGCCATAGTTGTGATTATTTTATAACTTAGTATTTAAATATTAGTTACATCTTCAAGAAAATCAACATAAATATTTTATGTATTTTATTCTCATGGATTTTTCCTCCTTCCTGTGTCATATAGGTGTTAATACCTGAATTATTCCCTCCTTGTGTAACTTGATCATATTCAGAGAAAGCTGAGTATCTGAGAGTTCTACATTTTTTTTTTCTGGAAAAATACATCAAAAAACACTTGTTAAATCCATCAACTTTGCGTATGTTTTCTTGATTTTTAAAAATTCACAATATCTATTGTTAAAAAATAAAGCAAGCAAAACTGAGAAGAGTATTTAAGGATTGTAAGAATCTTTAACTAAAATGCAAGTCTTTAAGAGGACAACCAGTAGAATATATTGTATCAATACCCAAACTAAGAAATTCTCTCCCTATAGGTACTCTATACAGAAAGAATAACAATTAAATGTAATAATATTAAAAAATTTGTGCTCTTGTTAAA